GTTCGATTCCCAGTCAGAGCACATGCCCGGGTTGGGGGCTCGATCCCCAGTCGGGGGCGTGCAGGAGGCAGCCGATCAATGACTCTCTCATCATTGATGTTTCTATCTCCCTTCCTCTCCCTTCCTCTCTCTGAAATCAATAAAGATATATTTTTAAAAAAAGAAAGAAATGAGTTGCCTCAATACAGGTTTCATCTGTATTACCATTTCCTCTAAAGCAGGGTTTTTCAGCTTCAGCTCTACTGACATTTTGGACCAAATAACTCTTTTTCATGGTAGGCTGTCCTGAGCATTGTAGGACATTTAGTCACATCCCTGCCCTCTGCCCACTGGATTCCAGTAGCACACACCCTCACTCCCGTCATGACTACCAAAAATGTACACACACGAAATGGGCTCCAAGTGAGAACCACTGCTTAAAGCCACACTGTAATAACATGTCCCTTGTACCCTGGAGCTTGGCCAGCTGGTGTCCTACTCCTCCTCAGAGAGTTCTGTGATGAAAGGGGCCTTGAGCACCGCCTCAGGGTTCACCACTAAACTATATACAATCTGAAATGGACACCCAGAAGCATAAACATAAAACTATCCCCTCTACCTACTTTATAAGGCCAAGGCTAAAATCACGTGTTCCTAAAAAGCTCAATTCCAGATACGGTAAAGACAGTGATCTCCTCATTTCTCCCAAAGTTAATACTTTTGTACTAAAATTAATTACATCAGTAAAACAGCAGGTTTTAAAATCACTCTGTTCACTTTCTATAGTGAAAATGTATAGTCTTCAAGGTACATCTTCAAGAGTATTTCATTAATCACCTTTAAAAATGCACATTCCCTTAAACATATATGTATATATTCCACACTTCTAATAGTCTCAGAGTTACTGAGCTACTTACTTTTCTAACAAACTTCATAAGTACCACATAAGCTTCATGTGGCATTTTCAGGTTCTGTACAGAAACTCAATTCTTGTACAACTTTGGTATGTATTAATAATGAGTTTAGATTGTAAAATTCATGGTTAATAGCAATCACATCTGTTATTTCTATAAAAATTAAATTATCACAGAAATACACTTAGATTAGTATAAAGTGACAAAATGGAATCAGTTGTATATTACTTTTGTTTTAACCTAAGAATAGTTCTCCTTTATATAAATTGTTGAATTGGATTTAGAACCCCAAAATTTTCACTGAACCTAAAATGTCATGTCCTTATTTTAACACTAGGAAATGTAGCCAAATGATTGCTGTACTATTTGTTTTAATATTGAGAAAATTAAGTCTGGCTGGAAGTGCTTTAGCTAACTAGTTTGAAATTAAACTGCTTTTTCAGTGCTTCAATTAATTTTTCATGTCTATTCTTATGAAAAATAATCACAGCAAAAGGAGTCCCTTTATAAACTATATAATAGCATATATTTGTACTTTTCACATTTTCTTGCTGTTCATATGACTATTTCTTTTAGAAGTAATCTTGGCATGTATCTCTATGAACTATAGTTAGTTTATAATTTCTGAAAAAATTGTCCTGCTGTCCTTGGTTTTCATGAGCTTACAAATGCCCTATAGAGCTATGCAACCAAACAATTAATTGGTAATCATTAGATTTGGGCAGATTTTATGTGACAACAATATTAATGAAAGCTAGCTTTTATTGTGTATTTGCTTTGTGTTAAATGTAACTCTTTACTAAATTATTTTTTCCCCCAATTTATTTTAGAGAGGGAGGAAGGGAGTAGAGACAGAGACAGAGAGGGAGAGGGAAACAACAATGTGAGAGAGATGCATCGATCAGTTGCCTCCCAAACATGCCCTGACCAGGGACTGAACCTGCAACCTGGGTATGTGCCCTGATCAGAAATCAAACCCGCCACCTCTTGGTGTACAGGACGACACACCAACCAACTGAGCAACACTGGCCAGGGTGCTAAATTATTTTCATATATTATTTTTATGTAATCCTCCTAGAGACGTGATTTTTTATATATTTATGTACATAATTGTCTCCATATTATCTTAGACCCTTGCTCAGTAACTGCCTTGGGAATATCTCATAATTGAAACTTGTGTTGTCTCATAATAAGTATTTATTAATGGTTTCAAAACATTGTTAGACTTTATGGTAAAAACGTTAAAAATAATAACATAAAGAAGAAGAAGAGAGGAAAGGGATGGAAGAGGGGAAGTAGGAAGAGCGTGAGGCTATAATCTCGGTCCCTAGGATCTGGTTGAGGTCATATAATCTAGAAACGTTTGACAGCATAATTATGAACTAAGTTTAAGGCATCACATGACATGTAATCAAGCGTAGATAGTGTTACAGGAATTCAGAGTTGGAAAAGCTCCTTAGGACCTGCAGTAGTTGAGAAGCTCTATGGGTAGTGGATTCTTATCTCAGCTTCAAAGGAAGTTGGAGTTTGGTTTGTTCTTACACAACTGATGAGTGGCCAGTGACGAACTGATGACATTCCACATGGAAAGACCAGCGTGACAAAAGCCTTAGAGATGAGAAAAGCTTCCAGTGTAACAAATACAGTTGATCCAAGGGTTTTAAATTTTCCTGCAATTCTGACATGATTTATATACATTTTTAGGAAAAGAATATTGGTTGTATTCACATTCTTTACAGTCTAGAATAAGAGAGCATGAGGGTATTTGGGGGGTTGGAGGGAGTACATAATAACCTCAGATAGGAGGAGTCAATACACCTAGGATTTGCCACTTGTGTTGCCCATGATTTCAGAAATATAAGAGAACTAAAAAGGTTGTGTTTTGCCTATTTCTTAATTAAAAATTATTGTATCATAATTTGCTCTACAAAGAGGATTACAATAGAAATTATTAGCAAGCTGGTGTGTAATTTGCTTGTTGATAGTAAATATTTCTAGACACCTTTCCAACATTGGCATTCTTTATTTCAGTGGTTCTCAGTCTTTTATTTGTCTGCCTCTTTCTATCTCTTATTTCTTTCACTCTAGGTTACGGTCTGATATACTCTCATAATCTTTCATTACATAGAATGATTATTCTAAGGAGTGTTAGGCCTGAGGAAGATTTGTTTCAGAATCCAGGGGAGAGGGATATGGGCCACATATGGTTTGGAAGTTCCCCTTGGAAATATTGGTATCTCCCCCTTCACTGTGCCCTTTGCTATAGAAGAATTTTTATATTATTTTAAAATCCATACCTAGGTTTATAAAATCCATACCTAGGTTGGAGTGTTAATACATGAGATTATTAATAAATTAGAATGACTTTTCTTCAGTTACTTAATTTGAAGGGTGTGTGTGTTTTTTAATTCTTCTCTCTCTCTCTCTCTCTTTAATTTTATTTTCTAGATCCCAAAGTCCAAGAGTGAGGGATCTATTCAGGTCCACAGGGTACCACAACCAGAGCTATCTGATGGTGTTCCTCGAGTCAGCCTGCGGCTAAGTCGTAGAAAACCCTGCTGGGATGACATGAATTCAGCAGAGGACACCAGTGGGGCCAAGTTGGTATCCAGGTTGGCATGTTTCCTTTGTTTGCACGTTACATATTGCATTCTCTGCTCCGATGTATAGGCCCACATACATAGGTACCTTTGTATTTATCTACCACTAGGGTCAACAGGATGCAGATCAGTAAAACTATTTAAAATTCACTCTTAAGTTTTGAGAATATTCTGACTAATAGTTCTTATCCCAGAAGCGTTTCTGGTTTGTTATATTTTATTTCTATATCAAAACAAATTTTGTAATCAGTTGGACCATGCTAGGCTCACAGTTAAAATTGGGAGAGTTTCTTTTTGGATCCCTTTTCATGGTATGTTCAGTGGCCAATATTATCTGCAGTTGAAGTAGACGTCAGCGTTGTTCCTGGGGCCAGCTCTTACTAACAAATTTGCATGTTGCCTTTTCTCCATTATGTTGCACAAAGCAAATTTCTTGGGTATACTTGAAGAACAAGGCATGCAAATATTTTTTTAAAAATAAAATGGAATCTGAATCTTATTTACTCATAGCATAAAGAATTTTGCCTTTTAAGAACTTTTTATTTTTTACTATAACTTAAAACCTATTTCTGAAATTTAAAGTTTCATTCTAAGACAGCTCTGAAGAATTAAAAGAGATTTAAGACATTAAGTGTGTAAATAATATAGTTAAAGAGGATTCACTTTGGATTGCCTTGTAGAAGAGATGGAGTTTTAGCTGGATTTAAAAGGTGAAGATAATTTAAATTGGTAGAAAACGAAGACAAGGCTCTTTTTTGTTTTGTTTTTAAATCCTCACCCGAGAATATTTTTTCCGTTGCTTTTCAGAGAGAATGGAAGGAAGAGAGAGAGAAACATTAGTTGCCTCCTGCATACTCCCCAACTGGGGGCGAGCCTACAACTGAGGTACGCGCCCTTGGCTAAAATCAAACCCAGGACCTTTCAGTCCACAGGCTGACGCTCTAACCACTGAGCAAACCGGCTATGCGACAGGGCTCTTATAGACAGGCCTAGTTAGGAGGCAGACTGGGTGTTTGGGAAATAGCACGCAGGTGCTACATAAAGAATTAGGTGGAGATAAGGCTGGGAAGGTAGAGAAAGGCCAGGCCATGGAGGACCTTGAATGCCAGCTGGAATTATTTTTACATTCAATCTTAAGTTGAACAAATGTTCAGCACTTCACTTCTGCTTCCAGGAAGTGCTTTAGGACAGGGGATGCAGCAGTGAGCAAAGCCAACCAGATCCTTGTGTTTATGGCCCCTACATTCTAGTGAGGGAGGCAATAGCAAGACACTTAGAAAAAATAGAAAAAGACCCATAAAGAAGGTCATGTTAGCTCTACTAAATGGGATCATTGAGAAACTAAAGCAGGTTCATGCAGGGGATGGACTCAAAGAAAATTTTAGTTTGAGTAGACAGAAAAGACCTAAATGAAGATATGAAGGGAGAGGAAGAGGGGAGTCTGTGAAGATCAGAGAGCGCATCTATGTAAAAGAACCAAGGTAGGGAAACCTGGCTTCCTGCTGCTGGTGTTAGGACTCCAGTGAGAGTGTCGGCTGGGAAGGGACCGGTGATGGGGAACCATGGTAAGTTTGTATATCAGGAAAAGTAATCTTCCATCCACATGCAGATCTGTTAGAAGAGCAAGAGTTTGGAGGTAGGTAGAGTGTTGGTAGCAACTTCAACAGTTGCTGATCTTTGTTGAGATCTAGTTATGTGGCACTTGCTTGCTGGGTGCTGGGGATTCAGGAAATGAGAGGTATAAGTCCTGCATTTAGGGGGGCAGAGAACAAGTAAATAAAAATTCAATAATTATCATTAAAAACACATTTACTCAGTGCCTATTATGTACCAGGCACTGTGAAATGGGCTGGTAAGAAAGTCATAAATACGGTTCAGGTTCTCTTCTTAAGGAGCTTCAAATATAGTCCACAGGGTGCTGTCCGAGGACAGAGAAAGGGCACAGACCACATTTGGAGATTAGGATCAGAGGTTTCAGAAGGAGGAGGACTTTTGAAGTAAGGCTAGGAGGTTAAGTAGAAGTTTACTGGGCAGGGAAATCAAGATAAGGGTGCTCTTGGGAGAAGAAAAAAACAGCAGCATGGGCAAGGACGTGCAGGGCAGTGCCGACAGTTGGGAGGAGAGCGACAGCCCAGCAGTGGTGGACTCGGGACATCTGGAGTTTGCGGGGGAGGGGCTGAGTGGTTTAGGGGCCTCAGCTAAATACGTCTAATCAGATACCCAATACTAAGGAGTTTAGAGTTTCTCTTGAGAATGATGAGTGATTGCAGAAATATGAGCAGGAAAGTGATATAAGCAGACCTGTATTTTATAAAAGATCCTGCGGCAACTCTGCAGAAGGAAAGATTAAAGAGAAGAGTAGAGGTGCTAAGAGAGCAGCGAAGAAGCTGTGGGACCGTCCAGTGCAAACTGAGAGCCCCTGGGAAGTCGCGGTCGGCACCGAGGACAAGATGTGGACAAGCCTTCGTGCCTTTTGTGAGAGAAGGGACGGAGGGGCTGTTGCTTAGAGGAATCGACTTGATCCAAAAAGGGTTAGGTTTTTTGTTCGTTTCGCTTCTTTTGGGAATTATAATATTTTAGTGACTGAAATGTATGCAGGTTTATAAACATAACAAGTAGAGTCAGTCCATGGAGAGAAAGAAGTGGATGTTACAGGCCAGGAGATAATAGAACGAGGACCTCTAGGATGGAACCCAGAGACCAGGTAGTCACCCGCTGAGTAAGGGGGGTCACTTTGTGGACAGCAAGGGTGTCTTCACATGGTGGCCTCTGCAAATGAGCGGGCTCCCGGTGCTGTGCAGTGAACAGTCAAGGTGCGAGCCTGTTCCTCGGAGGAAGGGCATGATCAGTAGAGGACCTAGCTTTGGTCAGTGAGGGACCCTTTAGAAAAGAGTAAGGGGCACAGATACAAAACACTGGGCCATTTTCTAGTTTCCTTTAGTTTAAAAACCAGGGTCAAGTGGCTGGCTAAGTGCAGCTAGTGTAGATGTTATCTTCTCAAATTAGTTGGTAAAGAATTATGCCAAGAATGCCTGAAGTTAAACAATGAAAAGAAAAATTCAGGTTTGTTGTTCAAATCATTCTTTTTATTCATCCAATCAAAAAAGGAAAAAATGTTTCCTGTGTCTAAAAGTAACAAGAAAGGAGCTTCCTGTTTGGAGAATGAATTTGTACTTCTGAGGTACAGGTCACATGAGATTATGGAGAGAGGGCTCAGCTCATGTTGTTCTAGCCACCCTTTGTTCCTCTGGTCAGCATATCCCAGTTAAAACAAATGCACATTCGTACTTATGAATTTCTCATATACTTTCCACATTTTTGAAATTACAGCCTTGAGGAACTGACTCCTTCACACTCAGCAGCCTTACAGGTTTAAATAGAACAACATCATCCATGTCAAAACTTGCCACCCGCCATCCAGTGGACGCTCCTTCAACTTCTTTTCTCTATCCAAATCTAAAGCATCCATTCAGAGAGTTTTACTTTTTTACTTTTTATATACCAAAAATAGATTGTGAGACAAATTATCAAAGGACAAGTGGAGATAATTAAAATAAATGGAACTAAAAATAAGTTTTAAATCCTTTATAAGTATTTGAAGTAACAGAATAGCTATTATTCCAATTTTCATTTAAAAAAAATGAACATGGGAAGCTGTTTTCATTTGCAATTACTTTCCAGAACAAATTATTGGTTAATTTATAAATTTTAAATAGATACAGATAGTGTGTGTTTTGCACACACACACAACTTTCTCTAAATTTTTTCCTTAGGGAAGCTTCCATTTTTTGCTTTAATAGTTTATTTGTTGCCCTAGTCTTAAACACAAAGGTTGGCAGTATGTGCTAAGTGTATTGTCATGTCCCTGTTCTCTAAGACAATATTTACTTGGCTTACCAACTTTTTTCAAGGAATTGTCAAAAAGCATTTAGTTGGGCTTTTCCTAGTATTGATTTCTTTTCTTTTTTTAGTTGCTCTTTGAAAAACAAAAAACAGTCAGCAGAATCTATTTTTGTTTGACCTATGATTGTGTAAGTTTGATTTACTTTACCAGAAAAAAAAAAAATCATTCTGGTTGCACTTACTAAAATTAGTATAACGCATTTATACAGAACAGGTTGGTTTTCAGCAGTTACTGTATCAGTTAACAGCAAAGATAAAACCAAGAAAGAAACTTTGGTACTGAGATTTCCAGAATGATGAAATGTCCTGTGATTTTTCGAAAACAGGTTAAAAGGTTGATTTCTCGGGCTTTTTGGAAGTCATGTTTGGCTAACAGTGTGTTTTTGATAACTTTGAATTTTTAGAGTTTAGACCTTGCTCAGTATCTTTCCCCAGGTTGAATCACTTTCATTTTTTTTCTTTTTCATTTTTTTCCTTTTTCATTTCAATTCTTACACGTAGGCCCATTTCTTCCTGAGGTGTAATAGAAATATGAATTGTTATCAGCAAGTGTTTATTATTTTTCTGACCTTCAGATAGTGGCAATAAAAATAAAAGCATAGGGGAGTAACACATTTTACAATGTGGTGTTTTGAGAGGCCAAAGGGGAGCTAAGTATCATTTATTGCTTATTGGCTAATTTATATCTTGAGACATTATTTAGATGAACATTTTTTCTGTATTTCTATAATTGTCTAAATTTGGCATGGATATAATTATATAAAAAAACAATCATTTTTCTAATCTTCATAGAATCTTTTATAGTAAGAGTGGCTTCATGAGAAAAGCTTACGGATAAATATCTTTTGATTTTGATAGAGCTTATTTAGTGGAATGATCTATTTTGTATGAATTCGGAACCAAAGACAGAGTACTTAGTGACATGTTCATTCAGTGAAAGCATTAATTAATCCATCTGTATCATCTAAAACTGACAGCAGCAATTCCTAAATTACTATTAATAATTCTTTTTCGTAATTAAGATGTGTGCTTACTAAAATTCACCTGAGACTGGAAAGCATAATTTCTAATCATGCATGCCTGCCTTAAAGGAGTAAATACCTGCTCTT